CATGTTGATAACTTGATTGGAATTATAACCCTAAGTTGACAGTTTGATACTTTGTAAATTTTGAGCCATCCCTACCCCCAAGGGCTGTAGGGTGGGGCCCAATGGAGTCTGTGTGCTAAAATAAAATTTCTTCATTTTCCTTGTTTAGAATCAGAGGTGCTAGTTTCAAATACTTTTCAGTCTTAAATCTGCTTGCTAAATATTGAATAAGGTGGTTTTATTGTTTTTTGTCACTTTGAATAATATTTCTGTTCATGTTAAAAACAAAAATCAACTCTCTGTATAAATATATCAGGTGACCGTTAAGGCCCATGGGCCTCTTGTATTTCTTCTGTACATTAGTTTCACTTTCATACATTTCTCTAATGAGAGATTATTACATTTTTCTATATATTAAATAACTAAAGGAAGATATCAACTTCACATACATTACCCGATAATGGTACAAAAGCAGTTGTTCCCTCCTGTGACTGATTCTCCTGACATATAGTAGAACAAGCATTCCAGATCTCTCTTTGTGGATGAATAAATTTGCCTTGATTGATTATAAATAAAGAAATGAATGCAATAATTCTACATAATAATTGTGTTTCTGTCTACAGACCGTGCCAGTGATTGGACAGAAGGTTCCCAGTAATCCAAACAGAAACACCCCACCACCCTCAGCTGGACCTATAAGTGAGTCATGCATTTTGCAGATCTTTCAATATTTAGCCAAACTTGGTTAAATCCCAAGATCTAAGTACCAGGGCAAACACTTCTATAGTATTTTGGATGACCAAGTTGGGATTCTCTTGATAAAATATTGGAAAATTTTCTTTCATAAGATTCAAGATAAAGAGCACCTTGATCTGAAGGGAGGTAATCAGATAGTCTTTCCTTTGTTATAAAGAAATAATCTTATAGTGTCTACAGTTTATTTTGAAAAGGGGAGGTAATCATGAGTCTACCATAGATGAGGAGAGTAAACTTAAAAGATATGTTTTCTATTTACAAAGTTGTGTAAATATCACATGATCTGTTTCAGCTGTTCATGCCTCTGGACCGCCATCTCATGTCAGAGGGTAAGTAGATTATCATGTCACTAAACTGTTACAAACAAAACCTAGTCAAAACGGTATTCCTTATAGGCTACAGACAGAAAAGAGATTGAAACAATAGTAAGTCCTGACTCTATTGCTTTCTTAACACTTCAAATTCATACTTTTACCCAGATGCCAATACCCAGCGAGTGAAAATAAAATAAAATAAAATTGTGCAAAATGAAAAGCAAATATCCAAAGGTACATTCCCAATTAAGTTGCCTGCCAGCCCTCTTTTACATATATTTCTGGAACACCTGTATTTCGGATTTGTACATAGTGCATATGTGTATGTACATCTAGAAAAACAAATTCAAAACCAGATATTTATAAGGGTACAGATCAAGTCTATTCAATCTCCACATTCCTTATTAATAATTGATCATGAATATATCTTCTTAAATATCATTATCAGTATCTTGCAAATATTTTACAGCATCTGCAGCAAGTTTTGCTTTAATAAGAATAATGTTTTAAATCCAGTGTTCTGGGTAAGGTAAATCAGGTCTCTTTAACCTTATTAAGTTAGAAAGGGATTGGATTTTTACTGTTTTTATATAATGTTATTCATGTATTTCATCACAACAGGCCTGCAAATTCAGAGAGTGGGTTGCACCCAAGCATTCCTGCTACTCCTAATTTTCGACATCCTGCCATACCCAATGGACCAGTGAGGCACCCTCCAACTTTCCCACCTCCAGGCATCGCCCCTTCACAAGGTGAGCACATACTTATCAAGGAAAAACTAAAACAAGAACATTTTTCTCACAATTCAGCTTTCCCATTATATTTTTTTCTAACAAATTGCTACTTGCTACTACTTTTCTAGCAGAATTTTGACTTTAAAAAGAAATTTGGCATTATATTGCAATTAATGGGGGGGGGGGGGGGGGGGGAATTGCTCAAGAAGTTATGGCACTAAACAAGGTAACTATATAATCAAGGTCTTGCTATTATTCTAATATCATGTTGCGAATGAAATTACACATTTATTGCTACGCTACATAAACAATACTTTATATTGTCTTTCAATGTGTTTATTTATTATTGTTTCAGTGCCTGTACTAAATACAGCTTTACCTCCCCCGCGTCTACCCATACCGTCAGGGATGCCACCATATCCTCCCCATCCTGGGGTACCTGGGAGCGCACCCCTGCCATTTCCACCGCCAAGAGGCCCTTTTCCTTTACCCATGGTTGGACCACAGCCAATGACCAAGGAGGAATTTTACAGAACAAAACAGGAGATGTTGAGAGACGAGTAAGTTATCAAGTGGAGAAAAAATTGTCAAGTCTCAACAATTCGTTTTTCCCGGCCAGCCAAATATTCAAATTTGATCATTCACATCTTAAATTTACTCCTGGATTAATAAGTTATTTTCAACCAGTTATACCTATATGTAACAGCTAATCAAGAAAATAGGTAGAAAAGTTCGAATTTATTTTTTCACAAAGATGAACTGGAATTACATGTTCAAAGTCCTACCACTTTTTCTACTATATACAGGCCTTACACATTTATTTTCGTCTTACATTTGTGTGACTTTCTCTAAATTCATAAAAAAAGACAATTATAAATTGCATGCATTTTTGCGGAGTCAGAACATTTTGAAACTATTCCGAGAACTGTTACAAAAAATTATCAAATTAGTACAATTAAACCCCAATAACTTGAAGTTGTGGGGTCCATATCAATAGTTAGAGGAATACATGGTATCAGATAGGATACATTTTTAAGGACTTGGAGACAAATTTTAAGGACTCTTGCAACTGCGGATAATTCAGAGTTAGAGGAACACAGGGTTTTCCAGCAATGGCGGTTCAAGTAATTTGAGATTAGTTTACAAAGAACACTGTTAGAACCAAACAACTTATTCAATGGGTATTCGAGTAATGTGAGTTCAAGGAAGTGGGGTTCCACTGTATCATTTTACCAATAGCACAGTAGATAAGATCTCTGCTTTATAAACAGGAGGACCTGGGTTTGAATCCCAATGACGATGCTAAGATTCTTGGGTGTAAGGAAGTAATAAAATTCTTATGCTTAACATTCTACTTGTCAGATTTTGAATTTGATGTAGTACGTCTGCAGTGTGTTTGTCAAGAATAATTCTGTTGATTGCAGCTTGAACCCCGAGGTCATGGTTGATTACCGTTTGAAGTTGATGGAGTACAGACTTAATCAGAGGAAGCGACGCTCCATATCAAGGTATTTCTATATAAATAAATAAATAACTGCAATTCTGATGTTGTTGCTCCCAACTGCTATTTTATAATTACTCATGCCAGGGGAAAATACTGAAAATTTTCTAAAAATTTAAGATAAGAAAGATCAGAAACCATGGAGCTCGGAAGGAATATGTTTCGCTATATATATCACAATACACAGGGGTCGACACTAACACTAGTCCGCTAGTCCTGGACTAGTAGATTTCAGCAAGGACAAGCGGATCACCCATCCTAACAGGTCCTTTGAACTTGTGAAAAATATGATGATAAAATAAGAATATTCCTTTTTAAAATTCGAAAACTGTTTCTATTACATGATAATTGTCAAAATTTTCCTTAAAACTTCACCATATTTTTATGGCAGTAGTTTATCGAGTTATTTTTTGTCCTCAATTACTTTTGACATTTCGTGCTGTAGATTGCAATGTTTCTTTATCAGGAAATATTGGACTAGTTACATTGACAAAGGACTAGTAAATAATCTACTTAACTAGTCTTGTGGACTACCAAGCAAAAAAGTTAGTGTCTATACCTGAAAGCGTTTTGTTTTGTGTCACATTTATTTTACAAACTTAACCTGTTACAAGGAATATTGAGAAACGGGGAATGACACTCAGGACTAATTTAATGGTTTCCCGTTGAATACCATGTATATATTTCACGAGTATGGCAGAATAGGAATATTTTTTATGATTGCCTAGCTTGAGTGAAAACGTAGGTCTTCTCTGCCATACGAGTGAAAGATATATTCGACAGGAAAAACAATAATGTTCTATTACTTATATTTTTAAAACTACCTGCAAGAAAGCATGTTACTGCATCTAAACTGTTACCTAGTGATATAATTTCATCATCTTTGGTGGCATATTCTAATGGCGTCATACTTGACAAGGTTGCCCACCAATTTAAATGCAGTGTTCTCCACAGGCTGTTTTAGTGAGGGGATGTGAACTACGTATAGGTGTGAAGCGTGAACAAAAGACCACAATTACCAGCTTGTTATTCGTCTAATCATAATTAATGATGTCTGTAAATTATCAAGGCTTCAATCTACGTTTTGATTTTCATTAGTGACCGACAATTACACCAAAATACCACATGGTTTTTGCCAGTTTGACAGTAACTTCAATTTGATAACTATATCACTATTTAAGTTAATATTGAGAACAGCATTGTTAGAATTTTTGTTAACTTAATTATAACAGGTAGCTAGGCCTGGTTTAATTTAATAAATTACACAACTAAGGGATTTAAAAAAAAAAAAAAAAAAGATTAATCATTGATTTCCAAATTAATTTATAATTGTCAAAATAAATACCTTTGGGTGGAATGTTATTATAATTTATTTATTCTCAGACATATATTCAATTATTTCTATGATTATGTTATTGGGGGGAAATGCTGAAGTATTTGCTAAAATTATCCATTTTCATTAGTCAGATTATTTTATTTGTAGTTATCAAATAAAACTGATAAAGAAAAAAAAAAGGGCAAGAAAATGAGCAATAATAATGCAATGTCAAGATTATTAAGTAATGCTTTTTATTTAAAATTGACTACATCATTACTCTTGTTTTGAGTTTTCTTTCTCAAAGTGGCGTCGCGTACAATATAAATGGGTTGCGATACGGAAATGGTTGGAAGCGCTGTACTGTAATGAAAGGTTTAAAAATAGATGCCATAGCGTATCCAAAAATGTTCTGGGGAGAACACTGTAAATGGGTAACTCAACATCATTCTACCGTTTTCTGCTAGCATTTGGTATGATTTGCTTATGAATTGTGTAGGTGAATAAATACTGTTGTGTAAGTAGCAGAGATGTACCAAAATAACCACTCATTTTACCATCACTTCATCTGTGATTTGTACAATGGCAGCTTGGAATGAAGTGAATAGACAGTACCGTTGGTCAGGTCAAAAAGTTTTCTTTTTACACTGCGACAAATATCTGTCACTGTGAATATATCAGTTTTATAAAGTTAATAGAATTTGATATCTCACTGGCAAAAATACAATTAAATATTTTACATCATTTATTGCCAATGAATTAATCTTAATTTAGTGACCAGGTGGTGTGTCCTGCTGGGTGTCTTCAGCAGTATGTTTCAGTGAGGTAGTACTATACAGTCGGCATCAGTTCCAAGCTAACACAAGGAGACAAACACGAACATATTGCACCCTCCCAAAACACACACGCATACACTACACGCATGCATCTTGCACACAGGGAAGACTGTCCTTAAATGACCATAGCGATTGATAGGACGTTAAACAATACTAAACCAAACCAAACCAAAATTATTGTAGTGAGTAGATGAGAGGTTTTAAGACTATCAATTAGAGTGATTACTAAGGCCTGTTTTAATTTTCCTATATAATCTAAATCCGATCAAGGTGTTTAAAGTTTCTTGATCTTACTTACAGGTCGCTGTCACCAAGAAGATCCCGCTCAAGGAGCAGGAGTCGCAGTCGATCAAGATACAGATCAAAGACCCCACCCTTACGAAGAAAAACAAGATCTAGAACCCGCTCAAGGACCCGTACTAGATCTCGTTCAAGGCTGAAGTACTCGCGCAGTCCACCCCCTCGTCGCATTCGATCAAGAACTCGTTCAAGATCAAGGTCAAGATTAAGGTCTAGGACACGTTCAAGATCACGTTCCATTTCCAAGCCAAGAAGATTACGGTCCCGAACACGATCTAGATCCAGATACCGTTCCAAGACACCTATTAGATACCGAACTAGGAGTAGGTCAAGGTCGTGGTCACGACCTCCGCCTCCAAAATATCGGGCAAGATCAAGAAGTCTAACACCGAGGCGAAGATCACGTACACGTTCACGTACAAGGTCGCCCCTACCAAGATATAATAGCTGGTCCAAATCACGTTCTCGCAGCCCAAAGTACAAGCGCAGCTCTCCAGGTTACCTTCCTCCCCGAAGGTCAAGGTCACCACCGCCTCGCTTTCAGCGATCTCCCCCACCATATTATAGGGATGACTTCTATAGACCGCCATCTGGTAACTGGTCCCCACCCCCCAAGGGCTTCAGATCTCCACCCCAGGGAAGGCAAGGCTTTTCTCCACCAAGGTACCCAGGTCAACCCCCACCTTACTATGGTCAGCGACCAGAGGATCCCTATAGGTAAGGATTATCACCTTAATGTTCATAATTGTCCATCTTACTGATTTAATCAGTTAGTGTACAACTGTCAAGTAGTTATATGTTCTAGAGTTTATGAGATATTAAACTTGTTGTCAGATGTCTAAAAGGTCTTCAAATAAATTCTCTAGTATAGGATAAATGTTATCTCATAGATGTCATTAATTTAAATTAAGGTAAGCTATTTGAAATAAAATGAAAAGAAGTGTTAAAAGTTCAACCAGTGATGCTATCTTCATGCTGTCACTACAGCAGTATGTTCAATTTTTTTATTTTATTTTTATTTTGATTTACCATTATAATCATTACTACAATTTAAACTAAAATAGAGACTATACTTGCCCTGATATTGATCACAGTTACCTTTGGTAGGCATTGTTTTGTGACATTATTGCAGCCTGATGATTTTTGTTTCTTCTTTAATACCAGTTACATTACTGAGTGTGGTGAATACTATGATACATTTGGGAGGAATTAAGAACTTTTCAGAGACCTGTCACCTATCAAATTTTAGAAATGAAGGGATTAGGGAAGTAGCAATGGGCAATGGCTGGTTCACCAACTTGAAGCCAGTATTCTTTCCCTTTTCTGAATCACAAATCAAGTTGTATCTTCCTTCTCTGATTCACTTAGCCAGTAGTGTCTCCATTTTCTGGTTCACTTAGCCAGTGATGGTATTTTCTGGTTCTCTTAGCCAGTAATGTCTCCATTTTCTGGGTCACTTAGCCAGTAGTGTCGCCATTTTCTGGTTCACTTAGCCAGTAGTGTCTCCATTTTCTGGTTCACTTACCCAGTAATGTCTCCATTTCTTGTTCACTTAGCCATTAGTGTCTCCATTCTCTGGTTCACTTAGCCAGTAGTGTCTCCATTTCACCAAGCCAGTTATGTCCCCATTCTATCATTAACAATGAATAGTCTGATACAATTTGAGAAAATACAGTGATGTTTCCACAACTTTATCTATCCTCAACTTCTGACATTTGTGATGAAAGCATAATATTAATATTCTTATATTTGTTTTTACAGAGCCTATGAGCAGTATTACATAGACTTTTATGGATACCCACCACCACTACCCCCACCCCCAGGGTCAGGGCCAGGGCCAAGGCCAGGACCAGGACCAGGGCCAGGGCCAAGGCCAGGACCAGGGCCAAGGCCAGGACCAGGGCCAGGACCAGGGCCAGGACTAGGGCCAGGGCCAGGGCAGTATGACATTCCCTACTATAACAAGCAACCGTACAGACCACGATCTAAGTCACCCAGGGGCCGTATGGAATCGAGAGGCAGATCCCCAAGGGGTAGGGGTCAAGGCAGAGGTCAGTCAGATAGACCTGGACCAAAATGGGACAACAGTAAACCTGGCAAAAACGACAGCAAGCAAGAAACTAAAAATAAAGATGAAAAGGAAGATAAAAAGAAAGTACAGAAAAGATCTCAAGAAAAATCCAAAACACACAAGGATCAGGAGGACAAAAAGGCCAAGAATAAAACTACGGACACCAAGAAAGAAAAAACAGTTAAAAGTAAAAAGACAAAGGAGGTTGGGCAGAAAATAGAGGTGGTGACAGGTGTTAAAAAATCATCTGGTGTAGGGTTAGCAACCATGGCAAAGAAATCCATACCATCAAAGGGGGTCGCAAATGTGGCGAAAAAATCCCAGCTGGAAAAGAGCGATGAAAAAATAAATAAAAAATCTCATCGAGAGAAAATTTCAGAGACGGGTAGTCGGAAATCGCAACCAGAAAAAAGAGAAGAAGCTACTGCAAAAAAACCATACAGAGACAAGGTGGAAGATAAGGAAAAGGTGAAGTCTTCATCTCAAGAACCACAAATCAATAAAGAAAATAAAATTCCCGCAAAGAAAAAGATCAAACCCAAACAGAAGGATAAAAGTGAGGACGATTCGGAACAGGAAGTGGGAAATATTTCAAAACGAAAAATGTTAAAAAAGATTGAGATAAAACAAGAACCAAGAGATGATTCAGATTTTGAAAATCCTGTGGGAAAAGTTAGTGTAAAAAAGGAGAGGGGAAGACTTCCTGAGGATGGAGAGGAACCACCAAAACGAATAAAAAAAGAAAAATTCAAAGAGTCTGAAGAGAAAGAGTTGGGTGATGATGAACCTCCTAAACGAGTCAGGAAGGAAAAATCTGATGCTCACAGACAACATCAAAAGGAGAAGCCACATATAAAAAGATCTAAGGTGAAAAATTCAGAGTCTGATGCTACACAAAGTGATTCTGCCCCCGAAGGTGAAAAGATTCGCCGTAAAATAAAAACAAAAAGGGTATCAGAGATAGAGAAAAAGGGAAATGAGGTTGTAGAGGAGGAAGAGAGCCCGGCTAAGAGGCGAAAGATCGATCATGAACAGGAACCAGACTACGAAAAATCAAACAAATCTGATAAACAGAGACATAAAGAAATCAAGGAAAACAAACTTGTATCCAAGTCAGACAGTAAGAAATCAAGGATTTCACGGGAGGATTCCTCAGAACGAAAGTCATCAGTGTCCAGGGAGGAAGGGTCGAAATCCCCTTCGGAAAGTAAAAAATCTCGCAGAGCTCGGGACAGTCAGTTGGAAGACAAAGCAGCAAAGGAAGGAGGGAAATCCCGAGGATCCCACAAGGATCAACAAACATCTAAAGTTGAAAGTGTCAAATCTCGAATATCACGAGAGGATCATCCTGGCCCAAAGTCTGTTGTTGAAAGCAAACTGCGCAGGTCGAGGGAGGAGGAACTCATGCTGTCGCCCCCCGAACTGTCTAAGTGGGAGAGAGAGGACTACTTGAGTGACCGTTCTCCTGAACCGAGGAGAAGACATAAACATCAACATGAGAAACAGTCATTACCAAGGTAAGGTGTATATGTATAGATCGTAAGACGAGTGGAATTGTAATGTTTAAATATGAAATAGACTTTGATACATTATTTTATACATGGTGCAAACTTTTTCTATTTCAACGTTGGTAAAAAGACTGTTGATTTGCTATTTACAAATCAAATAACTTTTTTTGTTTTTCTTATTTGAGAACTCAGAGATGCTAACACTAATATTTGTTTGCTTATATGGCTGCAAAATACTAAATTTTACAAAACCTTCTTTTTATACCCCATCACAAAGTGGTGTGGGGCATATTGTGTCGCCCTTGGCCATACATATCTCGGCCTGTGAAGTTTTTGCGTGTTGGTTAGTTATGAAAGGTGGGGTCCACTCCAATGCTAAAAATTCCAAGCAGCAGGTTTTTTCATATTTTGCAACAATATTGCCAGACTGCAGACAGTATTGAAAATGATGGTCTCGGGTCCCTAGGGTCTGATTTGGCCAAATTGGAGCTCGTTGAAGTACTCCTGTTCAGAACATGAAGTTATACTTGCTCAAGAGTCAGAAAAATCACTATTTTAATCTAGAGCTGATTTGTTTTCTTATAATGCTGCTGCTAAGGAGTAGTTGATCATTTTGATACCAAATATGTACTATTTAACTAGCATCTGTGATGCCAGTACTGGGCTCTTTATCAAAACTGGAGTCAAAAATGAGCTCAAACGAGCACTTGACATAACGTCACGTTCCTCGTGTTATACTTTATAGTTGACATAACATCACGTTCCTCGTGTTATACTTTATAGTTGACATGACATCACGTTCCTCGTGTTATACTTTATAGTTGACATAACATCACGTTCCTCGTGTTATACTTTATAGTTGACATAACATCACGTTCCTCGTGTTATACTTTATAGTTGACATAACATCACGTTCCTCGTGTTATACTTTATAGTTGACATAACATCACGTTCCTCGTGTTATACTTTATAGTTGACATAACATCACGTTCCTCGTGTTATACTTTATAGTTGACATAACATCACGTTCCTCGTGTTATACTTTATAGTTGACATAACATCACGTTCCTCGTGTTATACTTTATAGTTGACATAACATCACGTTCCTCGTGTTATACTTTATAGTTGACATAACATCACGTTCCTCGTGTTATACTTTATAGTTGACATAACATCACGTTCCTCGTGTTATACTTTATAGTTGACATAACATCACGTTCCTCGTGTTATACTTTATAGTTGACATAACATCACGTTCCTCGTGTTATACTTTATAGTTGACATAACATCACGTTCCTCGTGTTATACTTTATAGTTGACATAACATCACGTTCCTCGTGTTATACTTTATAGTTGACATAACATCACGTTCCTCGTGTTATACTTTATAGTTGACATAACATCAGGTCCCTCATGTTATACTTTATAGTTGACCTAACATCAGGTCCCTCATGTTATACTTTATAGTTGACCTAACATCAGGTCCCTCGTGTTATACTTTATAATTGACATGACATCACGTTACTCGTGTTATACTTTTTAGTTGCAGTCCACCAAATATATTTCAGGATCAGGTTTTGAAAATATTGTTGCCATACAAAGAATGTATATATGTAGCATAATTTATACTTTATAGTTGACATAGCATCACTCTCCTCGTGTTTTACTTTATAGTTGACATGACGTCACGTTACTCGTGTTATACTTTATAGTTGACATAACATCACGTTCCTCGTGTTATACTTTATAGTTGCAGTCCACCAAATATATTGCAGTTTCAGGTTTTGAAAATATTGTTGCCATACAAAGAATGTATATATGTAGCATAATTTATAAGCAATGATAATTGGTCAGTTATTGACCAAGTACTGTAACTAGTGTCATCCAGCTTCATACATTATGTGTCTATAGGAGTAGAACCTGGCTTTTTTTATAACCTTGAGCTTTGGCCTTGACCTTTGTGATCTTTCTTTAAATTTCGAGTATGGGAGCGGGGCATGTGTTTGTCAGAAACATTCTATTTTGGATTTTATCTAATACCAGCACTTGAATTTGCAAAAGTAACACTCGTAGATATTATATCTCCTGACTTTGTGATTGACTCTCATCAATTTACATGAAATTTAACATTCTGTCAAATAAAATAAATTGTTGAATGAAGATACATTGAACCAAGTACATGAAAGCATAATCTGAAGGATAGAATTTATAAGACTTAAGTGATTTATATACTATATTTCCAGTTAAGCAGAAAGACCTTTTTAAGAATTTTAATCTTGTTATTGTCATTTTCTGTGTATTCTTATAATTATGTTTAAAGTTTCCTTTCTTTTTTCCTCTGTAGGTCGGTCATAGAAAGTGCAGAAAAGGCCATATCTCAAAAACAGGTGAAGAGCATGGTAGCATCTGCTGTGGTACTGTCCCCTCCTAACAAAAATCCTCGTCGAGTGTTTGTGGATAGAGACAGGGAGGAGGCAACCTCACGCGACAGGGAGAGGGACAACAGTCGTCGCGATGACGGCAAGCCTGATGAGAGTCGACGAGAGGACAACAGAAAAGTTCTGAGCAGGCAGAGGTCAATGCAGATCACGATATCTGCACCGGATAAACGCAAGTTCTCAGAATCTGAGGACTTGCGGGAAAAGCTTGCTAGCTCTGAGGACCTGAGAGAAAAGCCCCGAGAGGATTTACGAGAGAAACTTTCTAATAGGAAAGTCAGCAGATACAAGGAAGAAAAGGAGGGTACACTGAGATCACTCAAGGATGATTCTCGTAAGGAGGAAAGTGTCTCTGGTGGTGGTAAGGGCAGTAAGCATCATGAGGATAGGAGAGATGTTGAACGCTCCAATGTGGAGAAGGTCTATCACAAGGAATCGGACAATAAGAAACATCACAGCAGTAAGTCCGCTCCCTCTGCCAGTCAGAAGGTGTCAAAGGAGAAAACACCCAAGCTGGAGATTAAGAAAGAAGAAGAAACTAAGCCAGAGGAATCGTCTAAAATCAAGTACAGAAAGGAGTCGTTGATTGATGAGGCTACGTTTGAGCCTGATTATAATGAGGAAAGCTCAGCAGAAGAGGAAGTTGAGAAGAATGATAAGGCTAAGGCAAGTTCTGCAGAGGAGGGAGAGGCTGATGACGACGATGAAGAGGATGAGGAAGAGGAGGATGGTGATACAAAATCCAAAAAACACAAACACAAAAAAGGCAAGCACAAAAAGAACAAGAAACACAAACATAAACACAAGAAAAAGAAACACAAAAAGAACAAGGAGGAGAAAGAATCCCAGGACAAGGAGTGAATGCGGGCATTACAGAATTCTGATATTAGTGTGAATGGTCATGTGTGTGACGAGTGTGAATTGTGTTAAGTTTGGTGCTTAATATAAAGGCCAGACCAAGTTTAATTTTCATTGTTTGAATATTGCTAGAAAATATTGGAACAGGTAAACAATTTAAAAATTTGATTTTTGCTTCAAAACAAATTCAAGTGAAGATCGTGCAAACATTTTGGATGTTTATCTGAATTTCCACGTCTACTTCATATAATGCTATGCTTGTGGAACTCCTTTTCAGCTTTCTTATAATAAGTTATATTGAATACCTTAGTGCACCTTTCCCCCTTGCTAACAAATATGTGAATATAAGGAAATATGATCACAAAGCATAAATGCAAGGGAAAGGAGACAAATATTCATTGAAAATATTTTCTAGGAATCCAAAAATCGAAAAATTTATTTTGCTGTAGTGTATAAAACATGTAAATGTGCTATACAGGAATGTCATAGATAAGTGAAACGTATTCAAACGAAATGATAAGAAAATTGTGATAAGATGTTGCCGTGTTTCTTCCAGCACTAGCTTTTTCCCCCGATATCAAAGTATGTGTGTGGTAAACTTGTCAGTGAGTAGCTGTTTTTGATGGGACTGCCTTTGTGTGGAGGGAGACAGAGTGAAGGGAAAAGAAACTTCACCGAGACAATCTTTGTCGCCATTAAACAGAGGTCTTTTTTGAGAGAATGAGAGTGTGCCCTTACTGCAAGTATATTGAGTGTTAAGTATATGTATTATGTGTTGAAAGGTTTTATGATAAAATGCTAGGTGATTTAGAAGTGCTATTTTTTTGTATTTAAACAAATGACTTGTGAAGTTGTTCAGATTAAACCATGCATCCAATGTCTGCTATTCCCACCTTTTTTCAAGTAAACTGGACAAACTTGCGTCTGTGAAAATGCTATGCCTGCTGGTCAAATCCATGTGATTGGGATGGAGAGTTTGTTAACTCTAGTCATGAAGCTCTGACAGAGTGCCTGCATTTAGAACTCAGTTATTGTTATTTTTATATCATTAGCATATATAGGATCTTACATGAGTTTCCATTTCATATGAGATTCATGAAACAAGTCTTAGAATTTTTCAATTTAGCGAGCCTATGGCACTTATGGTACTTACATGTTTAAATATTTTTATCAAGAATTTTCCCACAGATTTTTAGCTTCAAAGTACTTTGTCCTGAGTTTTAGTTTCAGAATGGGGCATTTAATGGAGGCCAGAATATCATTAGAACATTTGGTATATGGTAACATCAAAGGGGAGTTAACTGGTTTTACAGATTAAATGCAACATTGAGTCTCGTGAGACTGTTTCTGGAGCATTTCTTTCATACTTTTTGATAAATACAAAATCAAATTTTTCTGCCAGGCAGATGAAAGTGAATGTGTACTATATTTTCCATTTAGGGTTTCCAAGCCACTTAAAAAAATGATGAATTGATGGTTTTTTGATAACTATAGGAAGATTTTTTTTTTTTATATATATATATCCATATTTTCTGCTCAAAATCCATAAATATTCAGAAAACCATCATAATACGACTTTTTGTTTTGAAGATCATTCTTAGATAACATCTTTAAAATTTCAAGTGTGCATCTGTTTTTATGCAACAAGGGCCAAACGGGTATGTACAGTGTTAAATTAAAATTTTAAATACAAGCATTATAATCACAGGGGCAAGATGCTTTGAATTTGACAGCATGCATATCAATGCTATATATACATGGTAGTATAGTATAGCAAATGATGTGTACTCTTTATAGGCCATTAAGTTATGTATCTGGCCACTGTGATTTCAATATTGTGAAATAGAAAGTCCGTACAAGTATACCAGTATGCGAAATAAAAAGTTAAGGGCTACAAGAATATGATGGCATTTATCGAAGTCAGGTTACAATAGTGTGATTAAAACAGAACTGATTTATTGCATTTAAAAATTCATAATATGCTGCATTTCATAATTCAATATAGTTTTCGGGATGGCAAAGGCTTTTTTTATTATTTCTTTTCTGTAGGTTTAGGGCAAAACTAAACATTTGTTCAATCAGAAGTCATTCATTTGATATTGCAATTATGTTAGATTTCATTTAGTGCATTTTAATGATTTATTTGAAGATGTTATGAGAGCAAGATGCTGGTCATTTAGAGCCTGTTTTGGCTGAAGAGGTTTTGTGTCTTGTGAGTATCGTGTTCTATTTGATGGGACACAGTTTTGTAAGATGAGCGACATGAAATGTGTAAATATGTGCAATTGTAGAAGTACTGGTTTGTAAATAAAACTATGACAATAATTCCTGTTGTTTCTGTTATTACTGTCTACCAGGAACAAAGTGCCTCTCAGATTATCCCTTAGTGCCTCATTCGGCCTTCCATCTTGTTCTTGGTATCTTAATGACTTCTTGTATAAAACAATGAGACCAAGAGTGATGATATTATGTCTAGTTTTCTGGGTTGAGGAAGTGTAAAAGATGTGGATTAATTAGGTTGCCTAACAAGCATCAGCTGTAGGGAATTTCCCTTTAGCTCAGTAGTAGAGCATCAGGTTGGAGAGCCAATGGTCGCAGGTTCGAGGCCCAGCGATGGCACTATCTTTATCACTATTCCACATCCTATTACAGAACTATCATCTGTATTGTAATGAATGATATTCACCTACTTAAAAATTACTTATTAAGAATAATGTCAGGATGCCTAGAGAAATGGTGTTTGGCTGGTAACTAGGAGGAATGACTCACATTTTAGGATAGAAAGTAATTACATTTCACAGATAGCTTGCTAGGATTCAAGTTCTATCAAATAGCTTCAAACATATAATCTTGACTGACTTCCAGGTCACTGGTGATATGTGTTATAGACGGATTCCTTCTGATTTTTGACAAATATTTAGCTTTGGGGAAAATGTAGTACATGTATTTTGATTTAGGGCTTTTGTGTCTTCACAACAGCAATAAGGTCTTATGAAGATTGTTTAGAAAGGCGTTCATGAGGTCACGTGGTTAATTTTCCAATATCAAAAGTCAAAAGTAAAACCTTTTGAAGGATTAACTTAAATTTAACTTTAACCAATGTAGGCTGGAGTAAAATATACCTGTACCCCTCTGCATGTTATCTTAGTGGGCGCCAATGCAGCAGAATCGTGAGTTTTCTTCTAAATATGCCAAAACTGATCTGCTGCCCCTATGATAACACTTGGGATCTTGTTTTTCTTTTCTCTCTTATCTACTTATCTGATCTTACCTACTTTTTCGTTTAGGCCCTGTCTCACTCGTCTTAGTAACATCTTAGCTGTTGCCAGGACATTAAACCTAAATCAAAACAAATTCAATCGGGGAGGGGGTAAAGGTCAGGCACATGGCGGGGGCCCTTGTTGACCTGTCGTTGATCATGTTTGACTTACAGCAGCAACTTAAGTTCACATTGTACTTTGTTCTGAACTGTACAAGACTGACAATAATTCTACTAATTAAAATAAAACTTAATGCACAGAAAACCTGATATCAATATAAGATACATTAAGAGATGGACGCAATCCAGTGAAGTTGTACATTCATGAAACCATTCTTATAATCAAACTTGAGATTCTGTGTCAAAGCCTTAATTCTTGTTCTGGTGATAAATCAATGAAAAATCACATTTTGTCGATGGGTTTAAAGAATTTGGAAGAGATCTCGAGCAGAATACCGTTTAAAGTACTTGCACTTTTAAGAGATTTTATGATGCTATATGATATAAGCAAGTTACAAGAAATTTGGTTTGAGCACACAATCCGTGCTTGTCTGTATGCTGAACTGATATCTTTTATATTGCATTCCAGTTCAAAGAGTTTTGCGACATCATCATCCTTCATTCCTAAGATGGCTCTATCCACGCCTTGTTCTTGTTTACGCTAAAGCCTTTATTTCACAAATTATTTGGTACTGTTGAAGTGAGCTTATGCCATGGTGCGTCTTCAGCGTCAATATTTTACTTTAAACAGTTTCTTCTCAATAACCAAAAAGCCTAGGGTGATGATACTTGGCTAGAAGCAAACTGGGCTGAAGGGCTACCAAGTTTGTTCAAATGAATGACCTTGACCCACTTTCAAGGTCAGGGGTCAAATGTGTTAAAATCTTCAAATGACTTCTCAGTAACCAAAAGGCCCAGGGTACTGATATTGGGCCTGTAGCATGCTGGGATGAGGGCCTACCAAGTTTGTTCAAATGAATGACCTTGACCCACTTTCAAGGTCACATGGGTCAAATGTCATAAAATCCTCAAACAACTTCTCGATAACCAAAAGGCCCAGGGTACTGAAAATTTGGCCAGTAGCATGCTGGGATGAAGGGCTACCAAGTTTGTTCAAATGAATGACCTTGACCCACTTTCAAGCACACAGGGGTCTAATGTGTTGAAATCTTTAAACAACTTCTTCTCAATAACCAAAAGGCCCAGGGTACTGATATTGGGCCTTAGCATGCTGGGATTAAGGGCTACCAAGTTTGGTCAAATGAATGACCTCGACCCTCTTTCAAGCTCACAGGGGTCAAATGTCTTCAAATCTTCAAACGACTTCTTCTCAATAATGAAAAGGCCAATGGTGATGATATTTGGCCTGTAGAATGCTGGGATGAAGGACTACCAAGTTTGTTCAAATGAATGACCTTGATCCACTTTCAAGCTCACAATGGTCAATATAATTATGTTTAAATCTTTAAATGACTTGTTCTGTATAACCGTACTGATATTCTTTTCCAGAAGCATGCTGGGTGGGAAGACTTTTAATATGTTCTTATGAATCAAACACTGATATTCTGCCTGTAGCTGTATTTTAGTCCACTTTTAAGATTACAAGTGTGAGATTAATACCAGGGGAGTGATTCAGGCCCATGGGCCTCTTGTTACTGAATGTTATATTTTAGTAATTGTAGGTGGTTTCTTAAGTAGTCAAACAACAAGAAAATATTTATTAAACGAACGAACCGTCAAGGATGGAATTACGATGTGACCTGATACTCAAAATAGACTGGTTAAAACATTTTAGTAGACATTGACGGGCGAGCTGTATTGGTCGTTTGTTTGCTGTGTAACCCGCGGATACACGGAACTGTTAGCTGTCCTCTGTGGCAAAAGTTTATAGAAACATTGTCAATAAATCGAATCAAAAGAATGCTGACGCCAAGCTGTACAAACGAAACAAAAGTTCGTTTCATGTATAACGTTACCTATCTATGTGAATCATTTGTTGCATAATATTATTGATTGAAAAATCGATAATAGACGCGCTGTTGAGGATAGAAAAACTACAATATGTATGATAATGGGGAACATTTCCAAAGTGTATTTGATCCTGAATTACTGGGCCTTAGTAGAGATTTGCTCTACCCGATTCGTGACGTCAAAATGTTTGTTTACCGTGAAATCATTCATTTGCATTCTACTCGTGTATGATCGTGTGGAGGAGGTTTACACTTTTTAAATAAAGTTTTAAATAACATGTGTATGCAAAACAGAACGCCCGCTGTATATAGGTTCCTCGTTTATTGTGTCCGGATAGTTTTGAACAAGAGTAACCTCCCTTCCATCAGAAAGGAAACTGTTCTCTTATCGGTGAACCGCCAATGTGTTCAATGGCCTTTTAACTGCTATGGTCATATACAGATGTGCCAGTTCTGGTGGTGGAGGAAAACCGCAGTACCTGGAGAAACGAACATTCATGGTGCAATGTTGATCCAGTACTTAACCAAATTATATAAGATATCTTATAAAGAAAAGTATATAAGATATCTCATTTATTATATAAGATATCTCATAAAGTATCTTATATACTGTATGAGATATCTTATATAATAAATGCGATATCTTATATACTTTTCTTTATAAGATATCTTATATAATATATAAGATATCTTATATACTTTATGAGATATCTTATATAATAAATGAGATATCTTATATACTGTATAAGATAGTTTATATAATTTGGTTAAGTACTGGATCAACATTGCTCAATGAATAAATGACAACTTGGCTTGCCATAGTGGACAGTTCCTGGCGACCAGACGCTTTAACCACTCGACCACAATAATCACACTGTTGGTAAATGTCGAAGAGTTTTGTCGTGAGGTGACAATAATTGTCACACTGTTGGTAAATGTCATGAAGTATTGTCGTATTGTTACACCTCAAGTGAATTTCTAGCTATTTGATTGGTTGGGAGAAAATTAAACAAACATCTCTGTCACCCTCCGAAAATACATTGGATTTAAGGGGCGCGGGTGATATTGCCATGAGACAGTGAAAAATATCACATGCGCAAAAAATGTGCGTGCACCGCTTCGTTTTCCCACCGTGATGGTCACAAGAACGTTTGACGGGAACAGCCAATTTCTTGAAGCGCCGGTGCGATAGCGATTGTAAACAGCAGACTATCAACAAACAAGATGTCATTATCGAGGTTTGCTGCCGTTTCTGAGCTACAAAGACTTTTGGTGTAACAAAATAAATATGACATTCATTAGCAGGTGAAAGTGAATATTGTCATCCCGAGAAAACCATTTTCACCCGAGGCGAAGCCGAGGGTGACAATGGGTTTTTGAGGGTTGACAATATTCACTGTCACCTGCTAATGAATGTCATATTTATATAATGAGGTGACCATTATTGTCATACAGTTGGTAAATATCATGGATTATTGTCGTAATGAGGTGACCATTATTGTCATACTGTTGGTAAATATCATAGAGTTTTGTCGTAATGAGGTGACAATGATTGTCACACTGTTGGTAAATATCATAGAGTTTTGTCGTAATGAGGTGACAATGATTGTCGTCATACTGTTGGTAAATATCATGTTTTGTCGTGAGATGACAATAATTGTCACACTGTTAGCAAATGTCATAGAGTATTGTCGTAATGAGGTGACCGTTATTGTCATACTGTTGGTAAATGTCGTAGAGTTTGGTAATGAGGTGACTATTATTGTTATACTTCAGATAAATATTATGGCGTTTGGAAGTGAGTTGACCATTATGATGTATGTGAATATTTGAGGATTTTGTGTGAATGCAGTTTCGAAAATGACAAATGCATATCCTAAAATTCGGTTCATTTGAGGGAATGGCAAAAATTATTTTGATATGCTAATTTTGGGGTAAAGATATGATTCTCACATATATGGAATTATGTATAATTGTTGTTCACGAATGTACGACGGATACAATGAACACTAGACCAACTTCTGTACCATCACATGTTATGTCCCAAAAGATGCGAACGATATGGTCCTTCTGTGTCAAACCACTATAGAGATACA